CTTTATCCAACAATGTCAAAAACTTCAGCTTTTCCAAAATATATTTTAGAATGGATACCTTTTGAGCATTCATAGAAGTAACAAAGTTGACAGAAGGTGGATTTAGTTCAATTTATACTGCTAAATGGACAAAAGGAAGAATTATTGGTTACAATGAAGATAAAAAAGAGTTTAGTTATAATGGAAGGATAATAGCAGTATTAAAAGGTTTAAATGGTTCAAGTAATCCAGGAAAAGGCTTTTTTGATGAGGTTGGTAGTTGTCATTTAAAACAAAATAAACAATACTGTATTATATAATACTAATTGATTTTTATATTTAATTACAGGCAATGAATTATTGTAAACTTAAAGCACCACTGATCGTTCCTTGCTATGGTATAACCAAATTCCCGGATAGTGGAAGTTATGCAATGGTTTTAAACCATTTATCAGATGGAATTTAAGCGATTATTTACAAAAAAATCATCATAATTTAACATTAAAAGACAGAATTACAATCTTTAATTTTTTGTGCAATTCATTATATTGGATACATGAAAAAGATTTAATCCATTGTGATTTACATAGTGGTAATATACTTATGAGTAGAGGTAATTGTTATATTACAGACTTGGGATTATGTGGACCAGTTGACGAAAAATCATCAAATAAAATCTATGGAATTGTATCATATGTTGCACCCGAACTACTTAGAGGCAAAACTAATGCAAAGAATCTGATATTTATAGTGCTGGGATGTTAATGTGGGAAATATTTGCAGGTCATCCACCATTTGATGGCAGAGCTCACAATCATTGCTTAATTTTTGATATATGTGAAGGTTTACGACCACCAATATTGCCTGGAATGCCTGATGATTATGTGCAAATGATGCAGAAGTGTTGGAACGTGGATCCATCTAAATGGAGAGCTTAAAGAATTTTCTGATAATAAATATAAGGAAATTTGTGAAAACAAAATTTTGAAAAATAATAATAGTTTAATAAAAAGATTATTCAAATTTTTTAAAATCAAAAAGCGTAATTTTAATAATGATGGTAGCAGAGCAGTAGTGGTATTAGCAATTCGCAACAAGTACACAAAACACATCAAGATGCGTATCATAAAAGTAGAATCTTAGATGAAGAGATTGTTAAATCTAAAAGCTTGAAAATTAATACAAGTAATGATAGTTCGTTAAATAGTCTTGATTTTAACTCTTTTCTCTAAAATGTTGATGGTGAATAAAAATTTCATTAATTAATTGGAACTTACTATCCATTAATTATTACTAACAATATTTTTATCTGCATTGATTGCATTAGATTCTAATAATTAAAAGAAAGAACCGACGAATGACTAATTTAATCTTCACTATAAATTTAATTTATTTATTTATTATCTTTTTATTTATCTTTTTATTTTTATTTCTTAAAGCTAAATTATTTTGAATTAGTTTTTTTCAATTGACATTTTGAAAATCTTTTCAAAAAAAAATATTTCGTTTTTTTTTTAATTAATAAAGTATTAGAAATACAAAAACATCAAATTTTATATGAAAACGAACAAAGACCTAGGCTATCTAACGTTAAAATCTTATGTATTTCTATTATGTAGAATTTTGTGTAATTAATGAAAACATCATTCACAAATTTTTGTCCAGGTAGTGTATATACTTTATTTATTTAATAATCTATTTTATCGTGTAAACATCTTGTATATTATTATGATCATATATAATACACATTTAATTAAAGATAAAAAATTTTGTTTCATAAAGTTTTTCCAATAATTTGACTTTCTTGTAATTTTATAATTTCTTGTTCACTTAATTTCAATACATTTACAAATATTTCTTTGTTATGTTGACCTAAATCTGGACCTGCCCAATTAGTTTTACCAGGTGTAGATGTTAATTTTGGTGTAATTGCCGGAATCTTTGTATCGCAAATAAATAAATGAGATAATAAACATATTGCAATAATAATATAATCTATCAACAATATTCTCTCACCTTTAAATTCCAACCATTGTCAGAATTATTGCCACCAACTTTAACCACTTCCAATAATTCACGTTCCTTCACATGCTCATCATTCACAATATCCTTTATATTATAAATGCCACCACATGGTACACCAACCTGTTCCAAACTCTCAATTACTTGTTTTGATGTTAAAGTCTTTGTCCAATTATTTATTGCATCATCAATCAATTGTTGATGTTTAACTCTCTGTTTATTTGTGGCATACTTTTCACCTGTCAAATCTATTCTACCGGCTGCCTCCATAAGTCTTTTATAAATTGAGTCACCATTACCACCTATGATAACATATTTGGAATCAGAACATTGATATGCATTTGTTGGAACTATACCAGTAACTGTTGTGCCAGATGGCTGTCTTATCTGTCAATTAATAAATAATAGATAGAACTAAATGTCATTTCTTTCTCCAAGTATTCCAAGTAATAATTAAAATAATTCCAAATGATAATAAATGGATCTACCTCTCCAAATCTATCATATTCTGGTAATATTCCTTCCTCTAACTTGTCTTTCTGCTTTTCTAGACGCCATTATACGAAAAGCTTTACTAATTTCTTTTGGTGTTAATATTCGGATTGGTTTTCTCTTGTTATTTATTTCCAATTCATCAATTTCAATATTGTTAGAATTTGACATTTTATTTTTTATTTTCGTGTAGTGTAGTGTTACAATTGTATTTACATAATAAAAAATAGATTAATCTAAAAAAATTTTTTGAAAATTCTAATAGTACATAACATATTATTATCATTAATAAATTATTACACTAAAATTAGGCCAAGTTTAATTCATTTTTATAATAATGGTGACTAATATCTTCTTCAACTACCGTTTCGTCTCCAACGTATAATATAGATCCATCATCTTCATTATCAGTTTCAAACGCACTTTCAACATCTCCTTTCTCCAAGAATCTTTTAGCAGCGGCTTTTTCAACCACTTTATTCATTTTATTATAAATAATATAAGTTGCGACAAAAAGGAATAATATCCCAACTCCAAGTGAAACATAATTGACTATTCTTGACGTTGGATCCATTTCGTCGGCAAGATTATGAAGTCTTGACCCAATAAAAATATGAATTAATATCTTTGGAAGCGTAATTGCTGTTACTATAAAAAATTTAGTAAATGAGACTGATTGAACTGCTGCAAAGAATGCATTTGAATATGTGAATGGGAATGGACTAAGTCTTATTAAGAATATGACCTGGATAGATTTAATTATAATAAGTAATTTAACATAGTACAATTATTTTATATGATACGTGATTAAACTTATATTTACCCAAAATCCACCTTCTTCAATTGCTAAAGATAGTTTATAAAAATTTCCTTGTTTCTCTGCCATTTTTGTTGCTCGCCCAAGACATAACAAACGACAAATACTAGACAAATTAAAATAATTGATTACTATTTAAATATAAACTTGATCGAAAGGTAAAAGACAAATGATAGAGTTAATTACAAAAAACTTAGACTTGCTCCTATTAAAGCTGCAGGATATACAGGAAGAAATCCCATTGGAAAACCATATGCAAAACCACTTAATAATATAGTTGTGCTATAACTATATATTATTATTATTATTAGTAATAGTGGTAGTAGTAGGAATACTATGTAATATTATCAATAATTAAATAACAATTTTTTACCCTGGAATTGGTGGAATACTAGACACTATAATACACGCTGAAATTATTAAAGATCCATACTTAATTTCACGGAATTTAGCGGCAACCGGTGCAATCGCTAATAATTTAATTGACACGTATAATTAATACAACAAAATCAAAATCTTGATTACAAAACAAGAGAAATAAATAAATTAATAAATAAATTTACCTGATAAAATAGGCCTTTCGAAAACAATGAATAAAACCACTAAGGCAATCAGTATTATGATACCTGCAAGTATGCCATATTTCTTCTTAGGGGGTAATGCCTTAAAAAATTCAAAAGATTGTTTAAACATTTTAATTTTTTCAATTTTTATTTTAATAATTAATACTTTTAGGACATTTTTAAAGTGATTTATGTAGTACAAAATATACATGAAACTGGGTGAATGTTTATGTTTTTCTCGATCATTCAAAATCAATAAATTTCACATCAAAACTTTTATCTTCAGGTTGACAAACTGGGATATTTCCTTCGTGAAAATCTCCGTTAAGATTTTTCGTTTTACAAAGCAATTATTTAATAAAAAGGTTGAATTGGACTCGAATTTTCCTTTAGTAAAATGGTGGCGAAAGTCTATGAATTACTTGGAGGAAAATGTGTTGCTACCTCTATGATAAACAATTTCTGTTAATGAAACGAATCCTAGAAGGAAAACAATAGAAGCAATCTAGATTGATAAGAAAAAGAAAAGCAAGATGGGAAAGAAAGAAAATAGTGATGATAAAGAAGATGAAGAAAGAACAATTAATAGCACACAATAAGTCCCGGTTTAACGGATATTTTTTCCAGGAAACTTACTATTACCTGTTAACCGAGAGATCCGTAAAAGCAATACTTAACAAGGATTAAATTTTAAAAAAACTAAAATATACTAATTACTTCAATTCTTTAGATAATTAGCATGATTCCTATATTATCTCAACCATAATTCTTATTGTTCATTTTTTATTATTAGTAACATCCAATTTACTCAATTATTTCACTTTCAACTTTTATTAATTAATTAACGTGTTTCATAAAAAAATATTCATTTTATTAGAATGTTTCACGTGATAAAATGGTCAAACAAAAGGGACTCTAATTAGTAATGATCAACGTCCTAAATTTGAAAGTTTATTAACCGTGGCTTATTATTTGCACCATCTATTTTTAAAAATTGGGAAATTTTTTTTGATAAGCCGAGATCTACAACAAGGGCTAACCTTACACTGTTGCAGATCACAAAAACAACTATTTCATTGGCCAAAATTTTGTCGATCTTATTCCAAAAAATAAAACATTTAATGTGGGTTTGATTCATTTTGTCAACAATCACTTCACGAACAATTGTTTCGTTGACAAATGGTTCGAATTTAAGAAGTTGGAAGCAACCATTCGAAATAGTCTAATAAATTAAATCGTACTACTCGAAAATGTATTCAAAGGGTTGGTTTTCGACTTGGTTGAAGAATAACTCTCTTCCTAACTCTTCTCTTGACCATATCTCTCGATATAATCAAAATAACCTTAATATAATGAATGCGAAAATGATCGTAAATGCGACCAATTTAAAATATACGATCAAGAGAAAACATGAACGATGTATGAAAAAATCAAACGAATTTATTTAATAAAACAAAATTTACAACCCAAAAAATTTTTTTTTTGCAATTAACTATTAACAATCTAATTATATAGATCTTGACCGATCAAACCCGCCTATATGGTTATTAAATAATCGATAATAATAATAATAAATAAAACGTTAATTAAACATATTTTACAAACAGCTTCGTAGATCTCGACTTTAAGACTTACTTTGATCAAACCCACCCATAATAACAAACGTTTATTTTGGAAACTTGATTTGCAAATAGATCTTGACTTTAACACTTACTTCTACCAAGCCCGCCTATATAATCATTTGAATAATTGATAAAGCGTTCATTAAATACATTTTACAAACAGATTCATTCATAGATCTTGACTTTTAACACTTATTTCGATTCAATAATTGATAAACGTTCATCAATATATTTTACAAACTTGCTTTGGAAGTTTCGTATGTCGTCCTATGTCTTGTATTTAACAGTTTACTTTTTCTGCTTAATTTTATTTTTTTTAGATTACACAAATAAAAATTATGGAATAAATTTAATCCAATGAAATGTTGTTATCCCATAAAAGAATAAATTTCAATTGTTAAAAAAATCAATTAAGCTTTTTTTCTTAATTAAAAGAAAAAAGATCCTTCGCAAAGAAGAACCCTCGTGTGAATCAAAAGCCATTTGCGAATTTCGATTGTTAAAATCTTTCGTCCTGATCTTTTCCTCGTGTTTTTTTTTTGTCTATCGCTATTGAAGAATAAGCTTCATGCAAACATCAAAAATTTCGATTATTTTAAAAAAAATCAACTAAGCTTTTTTTTTTTCTTAATCAATTGACATATTTTATTTGTTTTTCCCGAAAGGAAATTTTTTCATTAATCAACGATTTTATTGTTTTCTCCAAAAGGAAATCAGATCATCCACTATCCTTCAAATGGTCAAAATCAAAGTTTTTTCTTATCCAGATCACCCACTATCTCTCTCAAATGGTCAAAATCCAAAAAAAAATTTTAATTCAACACGAACAATCAAAAAAAATTTGCAAATACTGTTTTGTTTATCGATCATTTTTTTTAAATCGACAAAACGAAATAAAACGTTTTTGAACCCCAGTCTCGTGACCAGAAAATATCACTAACACGTTGTGCGACAAGCCTTTGACGATCCAAGGTAAAGGTTCCAAGACAAGACCATCAGTTTTTGGTCATTTTGAACAGTCCGAAACGTCGGAGCAAGACGAATAACTAACGGTAGACAGCGGTTGACACCACACAAAAAACATCTAAAGCGAAACACGATTTCCTTTTGGTCAAATATCTGTTTCGCTCAACCCCGACGTTTTGAACCAAAACAGATAAGTTTTTCAGTTACACAAATCATGACAAGCAGATAACAATTGAGATTTACACGATACGGTGACATAAAATTACCACAACCATTTATCATTCATTTTTTTGGAAAACGAAAATATTTCTGTTCAAATTTCAATTTTATTAACAGTTAAAAGCTGGCTGTATAGTTTATAACCATGTGGAGAAGTAGTCCCATGGGTAGCTACAGCCTGCAGCGGAGGTGTGGTCTATATCCATGCAGAGATGTAGTCCCATGGGTAGCTGCATAAATGTAACAAAGCTATCCAAAGAAATTTTATACTTCGAATTGTTTCTGGAAATGTATTGCATTCTGTTTCTCATTTCCTGGACCATGAATAGTTATATAATGTATTTGTTTTTCAATTGTTCTTGTTACAGAAGCTTTATCCATAGTGAGTTTGACAGCTTTCCATGCCTTATGGTATTGAAGAACATCCAACCTTCACAAGGAGTATTTAGAAAGTAGCTAAATCCAGGCCTTCCAGTGTCTGATAACATTATTGCAACAAATATGTCACTGTGACTTGAACTAAAATCTTAAGAACGTAACTTTTCATAAACAAATTATAAGAATTAGAAATATTGAAAGTCATGTTAATTTCCTTAGAAAAGGAATCATGCAAGTAATAAGTTATAACAAAAAAATAAATCAAGGTTTACCAATTACAAATTAAACAATAATAGAACAAACAGGAGCTGCAATCCAGGATTGAAATTACTTTTTATAAAAGTTATGGGAAAATTAATTGGTTAACTAGATCCATTTTTTTTTTTTTTTTGAAAAAATAATAATGTAATAATATAATGTATTTTTTTTCCTTACTAGTCGTGTAACTAGATTCGTTTTTTTTTTGAAAAAGAAAAGTAATTAATATTATATAATAATAAAATAATAATGTAATATAATATAGTTTATATAATAATAATATATATAATAATAATATATAATGATTTTTTTTTTCCTTACTAGCTGCGTAACAAGATCCGTTTTTTTTTTGAAAAAGAAAAGTAATTAATATTATAATAAAAATAATAATGTAATATAATATAATTTATATAATAATAGTCTATATAATGATTTTCTTTTTTTCCTTACTAGCCGCGTAACAAGATCCGTTTTTTTTTTTGAAAAAGAAAAGTAATTAATATTATATAATATAATTATATAATAAAAATATATATAATGATTTTTTTTTTTCCTTACTAATCGCGTAATAAGTGTTCACTAGATCGTTTTTTTTTTGAAAAAGAAAAGTAATTAAAATAAAAAAAAATTTATTTGCCTTAGTACTGTAGTACGTGAAAATGAAATTATGTGAAATTCGAAAAATTGTTAATTTCCCGCTTGCGTAACAATAATTTTTTTAAACAAAATAACTGATTTTTTGTTTTTTGCCTTCAGTGAATGAAAAATGAAAAAATAACTGATTTTTTGTTTTTTACCTTCAGAGAAATGAAAAAACTGATTGATTTTTTGCAGCCTGCATGCTATAATTAAAATATTTCTCAGATAATAACGTATAGTTAAAAAAAATATTGGCAGGAGAATTTTTATAGTTGATTAATTTTTTACATAGTGAAAATAAAGTGAACCTTTACATATTTGATCTACAAATACATTTTTCTACAACAAAACGATTACTTTTGTTTTCAATTCAACACCCAAATTTTACAAAAAATTCCTTCCCAAAAAAATATTTTAGTTCTAAACAGAATGCATTAATTCGAATTCAATTCTGAATCCAATTCAATTCCGAATCCAATTCAGAATTCTTATCCATATTCATTAAAATTGAACCGCGTTTTTTATTTTTTTTACCTGAAGATCTACTTTGTTGATACTTTATTAACATAAAAAATTACACAAATTTTGATATATGAGGCAAATGATAAACGTATTAACCCTTTTTATTGAAAAATTCGATAAATATGGACATGCATCAAAACTATTGGCCCGAAATTTATTATATGTTAAAAAGACAACAATTAGTAAAGTCACGTTTTATTTATTTTAGTTAGGACTAACGTTGGGTAATTGATGAGCGTTACTAACTTAATTTGCTTTAGTAAACTATTGTCCAAAGGTTAATCAGAAATACTGACGGTGTATTATAAATGTAAACCTTTTAAACGGGTTGTTTAAGTTGTTTTGTAAATAATCCAAAAGCGAGTTTGCAATCAGCCAGACAAGCGTAAACGGAATAAATCTGTCAAAAGTAAATAAAAAAGGAACATTATGGAAGCATTTGAGATTTATAAAAGAGACATCTTTATTTATTTATAGTTATCTGGTGCCATTAAGTGTGCTTACGGATTCGCTGAAGCTCTCTATGTACAACAAGAAAGAGGCAGTAGACGAAAGCCAAAGTAAACTCGTAAGCTAGTTAATTGTCAAGCGCCGAATTATTGTGAACTGCTTTCTTGCAATTAACTGACAAGCGTAGCCCAAAAGCTAAATTATCGTCAGCCATACTTATTAAACAATCAGCGCTATCAAAAAGGCTACCTTGCATTAGCCGACTTGCTGGAGGTAAGTACTGTTTTTTCGGATGATACATTATACATTTGCGAAAGGATGTCTTGAATCTTGGATAATTTTAACGTGGATTAATAATATTGAGATCACATAGAGTACAAGCAAAAAATACCAGATTATATTTTGACAAAGATAAATCCGCTAAAAAGAAGAAATGTTGGTGAAAATTAGAAGGAAATTGATTTCTATTAATATTTAATATTAATCAATTTTAACCAACCAGATCACTGTCAAAACTAGAATTTTTGCCAGCGCTAATTTTTGCTTTTAGATTAATTGCTCCAATTATCTTACCCTAGTATAGGAATTTTTGTACAAGTTACAAGATTTTTAATGAAATTCCACTTTTTTAGTTCTCATTTGCTTTTTAAAGTTATTAAAATACATATGAATGATTAAAATAATTTAGGAAACAGCAAAAATGAGACGTTATGTGCTTAGTGGTTATGACACGTAATGTATGACGAAACTTTTGACTTTAATCATTGAAGTAATGAAGGTACTGACTAAAGGTAGTTAATTTTTCACCAAGGGCCATTTTGACGATTTGGCGAAAGTAAAAAGTGTTGACAAAAGTAAAATTGAATTTTTTTGTTTTATATATATGTAAGACATCCCTTAATTACAGAGAATAAATATTCCGAGTAAAATTATTTTGAAGACAAGAATCTAAATAATTGTTGGTTGATAATATATTTTAATAAAAATTAGATCTAATTTTTACTTGTTTTGCCAATGACTTCAATGATTTTGATTTTCATCAAGGGTTTTGACTTTCGTCAAGGGTTTAGTCTTTCGTCAAGAGTTTAATCATTTGTCATTTTTTAGTGCATTTGACGAAATAGTTTCTCAATTTTTAGTGACACGTATTAAAAAGTTAAAATGACATAAAAGCGCGTGTTTTTTTTTTAATCCCACTTTCTAACTTTTATTAAATAAATATAATAATAATAATAATAATAATAATAATGCCCAAAAGACAGCCACAAACTAAAAAAGAATCTCAAAGTAATAATAGTTCAGAACAAAACGGGTAAGCCTATTATTATAAATAATTATTTTCACGCGTCTTAGGATTATTATTATTATCATCATCATCATTTAATAGAGAAGATATGGTTCAAATGTTTTCTGTTTTCCAAAGTAAGTTTATTAAAAGGAGGAATTGTAATGATAATAGTAATATAATATAAAACAACAATAATTGTTGTTGTTGTTGTTGCTGCTAGCACGTATGGAAAAGAAAGTAAGGGATAGACAAGAAAAGCTTGAAAATGATTGCAATAAAACAATGCAACAAATGAGAAAGTTGACTCAAGAACTTGTTTCAAAACAAAAACAAGAAATGTAATTTATATTTATTTATCTTAATTAATTGATTTATATTTATTCTAATAATACACTCGATTATATAGAGAAATGAAAGTTAACAAATATAAGAATCAATATCAAGAATATAAGGAAGAAAAATACTCAATTTTAGAAAGATTGAAATCGGAAAATTTAAAATTATTGGTAAGAAAACATTTGTATAATAACATTTCTATCATTGTTATTATTATCAACTATAATTAATTAAAATAACATCATCAAATCACAGCAAAATTATAAATCAATCGTTAATGAATTAGCAAGAGTTGAAATGTCTCAAATGAAAGAATTCCAAATATTTGAGAAAAAATATAATTCATTTATTGAAGAGATTGAAGCAATTCAAAATGAATAATCCATTGACAAACTATATATATATATTAATATATGCACAAATAATAATATTAAGATATATAAATAACTAGAATATTTAATAAGTAAAAATATTATTTTTTTAACCTGATATTTGATCGGATGTCTTGCAGCTCAATCACTTGTCGCTCGATGTTTTGATGTATAACATAAATTTCTCCAAAAAAGTATTTTTTTTAAAAAACCCATTATATTGAATGTTCTTAATGAATATATAGAGTTGGAAATTGGTTGTCAAAAAAAGTCCAGAATAAAAAAAACCGGGGCAAGAAAACGAGGAGAGGGGAAAAAGGACAGTTAACATAACATGTTAATCTTCCAACTATATATAATGATAGAATAATCAAATTATTAAAGTTGACTTTAGATATCGATATAATTTAAATATCATTCGCTATTTTGCATCAGACCTAGTCGGGTCACTCCCTCTTCCATCTGAAATTAATCATTTTGGGAACCCTTAAAGCAACACTTTATGACTCGTTTAGCGAATGAAGCCTTGTGTTGGCATGCATAGCCAACACTCCCAGATGAAAATATTTCAACTATATCTGGAAATATGAAGCAGAATGAAATTTCCTGCCACTTCTCATCCAGTACTGGTAGCAGTTGTGGTGAAGGGTTGGAAATAAGGTCTGAAAAAAAAAAACGGAAATTCCTCTTGAATGCTAAGAATTTTCTGAAAGAAAAATTTAACAAATTTTTACACATAATCCTACTCAATTAACCTATTGTTAATTTAAAGCTAGCCTACCACCTTTAAATAATTAAATAGGCATAATTAAATAAATCTATCTAAATAATTATACAAAAAGATAACATGCTAAAGGCAAAAATTTTCTCACTTAGCCCCAAAAAATATGAAATTCTGACATACTGAAAATTGGATGAAGTGGCTTGAAAATGTTTTATTTTGTAATTACGTTTTCTTATTTTTTATTCTGATTTTAATTCTTTTAACTTTAACTTGATTTGCTGATTTGTTTTCATCAACGTTTCTTGTTGGTGAAGTACAGTCCGTTTCTGTGGTTGAGTTACTTTATGAGCGTATCTAGTAAAACTATTGTGAATAAGAATCTGTGAACATCTTTTTATACAGATTGAGATTACAAAGATCACTTACCTTAAATTTCTTCACTAATTTGATAACATTTTCGATTTGTAATAAACACATATTTTCCCCTCCCCCAACATGAGAGAAATTAAAAGCGCTACTCTTTAAAATTTTACTTGACAAACTTAACAAACTCCAAACTCTAAAAAACTCAAATTTTAGTTAGATGAATCCATCAACAACTTTACAACAAAAACCGGTCATATAGACCTTTTACACAACAACAAAAAAAAAACAATGTTGGATTGGATACATCCACTCACACAACACCAAACTAAAAATGGATAGCTGAAAAGATGAAAAATTTCAATAATGAATGTTTTTCGCCTTCCTTGATGGATGTATATAATAGTGAAAAAAGTGGCGAATATAATAAATGATTTGTGTATGATAAGATGCTCGAGGTGTTGCAATTTGGCCACCTGTTTGAAAAGTCAAAAGAACTCGTAATGGCTGCTCAAAGATTTGATCGGTTCAAAGATTTTTCCTTTATTTATCAGATCAACATAATATTAAAAAATTTATTTAACTACATCTTTGAGAAATCTCATTAAGTGATGATGACTCTATAAAAAGAGTTGGCAAAGGCGGTTGGAATGAATTCAAAGCATTAACCTTAGAAAATAAATTATTTTCATTTTGCAATAAATTTTGGTCGATTGATCAGTATATAGATTTTTCCTATGATTGGTCAGAAGTAAATGCTGACTCAGCATCGGTAATGAAATCTATTATACTACTTTCAACTAATAATATTTAACAAACATGCTTGCTTTTACAAATGTATTTTTTATGAATTATTCACTGGGATTTTCCCTGGTTTTACTTTATTATAAAACTTACAAGAACCAGGTGACGCAATAAAGTTGAGAAAACCTGTAATCAAAAGTATTTCTCAGAGGTTCCATACTAACACCTACTTTAATAGAACACATGCGTCAAGAATATCTTTACAATTAATTATTAAAAAAACAAGGAAGAATTGTATTACAGTTAATCATGACGTCGAGCAAATTTTATTTAAATGAATCTTTCGAAATAATAATTTGCCAAAGTTTTCCTATATTGTGATTACGATATCTACATTGCATTGTTGTCACATAGAGATTGATACCGTTAACCATTAATCTTGGGTGTTGCAAATTTCAAAGAATACATAAGCGTGTAATGATGAAATAAATATGAAAAATTCTGGTTCCACCAGAGTTTCCAGCTTCTCTAGAGAGCACCAATCTTTCTTTTGACTAATACTAATGATGTCAAGCAGCAGAAAATTTTCCCCATCCCACAATTTTTTGTACATATCACATGACCAATTTTTTTCGCCACAAATAACCCAGTTTAGAGTTCAGGCAGTTTTAAAAACAGACTTTTGACCAGTCAAATTCGAAATATGAACGTAGTTATATAAATATTCTTAGGCATGCATGCTAAATTAGAGCTAAATTTACTCAAATAGTTTAGTTCCCAATCTGCAATTCATATTTTTATCGTTATATATATATATATATATATATATATATATATATTAATATTCTTTTATTTACCGTTAATTTTCTTGAGCATGTGCTTCAAACACATATTTGAAGTGCGTTTAAAGCAGATATTAAAAACATTAGTGGTTAAACTCGGTTTAGTTATGCTCTACCAAAGAAAATTAACGTCCTTACTCACAAAGCATCATAAAATTTATTAAAATTTTAAAATAAAGTACATCAATTCGTTACCTGAAACTTGGAGCCAAGAAAGGTGAACAGAAAAAAATATATATTTAAAAGATAAATGACCAAATAAATTAAAGGCTGAAAAATTTATCAGAATTAGATTTAGAGCATCCACCTACTCCATCTGAAGCTGGATCAGCAACATCACCCAGATCTCACCAAAAGAAAAGTTTCATCAGAAAACAGGCCTTGTTTTTCATTTTTTTGGTATTTATGCAAACACTAATTCCCGCACATAATAATAAATAATGTTACATTCTTTCATTAGCTCATAATATTGTAACGATGAATGTGACAAGTGAATTTTATGAATCTTTAATGAGACTGTTAATAATGAAGATAATGAATGTTTTGATACAGCTAATATATCCCTAATGCCACGAGAGAGATAATAAAAATATTCGGAAATTACATAATAAATATCCAAAACCTGGGATTATTTCAAAGATGACGGAAATAGCATTGACTGTAAAGTATTAAATTGTGACGCTAGATATTCAAGGAATTCTTTTTTTTGGAAAAAAAGCCAATCATAAAACAGTCGTTGAATTGTTTGAGAGGATTAAGGAACGAAATCCCTATCATAGTCATTTAGCATGTACATAGGTAAACTCGATAAGTCGGACACAAATGGCTGGACATGGTGTCCGACTTATCAAGAGATCCGAGTTAACAAAATATGCAATTTTACAAAAAAAAAAATAAAAAAAATAAAAAATAAGAAAATCGTTGTTTAAATCATATTTATTTATTTATAATAATAAATGAAAAAATAATTTAATAAAACAGATAGAAGATAAAACAAAAAAATCTCTACTCTTTATCTAAATAAATATTCATACTGGTTTGTACTAAAGAATTATTTTGTTTTCTATTAATTTTCCATTTTAAATCTTTTAATCATTTAATGATGAGACAACAAAACGCGAATTCATTTAATGGTGAGATAATAAATGATATAATTGATAAATATAACAATAAAATACATTATTTGCAAAGACAAAATTTTTAAAATGATTATAATTGATAATAATATTATTCACGAAACAGATTTATTACAAATCATGAATAATGAAATTATTATTACAAAAATTTATTGGATAATACATTACTAAAAATAGTAAAGATTATCTCTCGAGATTTACAAAAATCACATGAACTGACTTATCAAGAGTCATTTATTATTATCTGGCTGGAGGAGTTGTCTGACTTACAGCTTAACAAGAGTTTAAAAAAAAGGGCTGGAAATTTTTGTCCGAGTTAGGCCAAATCCAACTTATCAAGTGTCTGACTTATTGAGTTTACCTATGTAGTATGTTTTTGATTCTGCATATAATGTACATAATGTGTAAATTACTTATTATAAAATAATAAATAAAATGTATAAATTGTCTTTAACACTTATTTTGATCAAACCTGCATATATTATTGAATAATTGATAAATATCCGTTTTGCAAGTTTCATAGATCTTGACTGACACTTACTTCGCCTATATAAGATTAAATAATTGACAATAATAAAACGTTGATTAAATATATTTACAAACAGCCTTGTAGATCCCAACTTTAATACTTACTTCAATCAAACCCACCTATATAATTATTGAATAATTGATAACATCCGTTTTGCAAGTTTCATATATCTTGGCTAAGACTTGCTTTGATCAAACCCGCCTATATAATTATTGAATAATTGATAAACATTTGTTTTGCAAGCTTCATAGATCTTGACTAACATTTGCTTCGATCAAACCCGCCTATATAATAAAATGTCCATTAAATATATTTTACAAGCAGCTTTGTAAATCTTAACTTTAACATTTACTTTGATCAAACCCACCTATATGATTATTGAATAATTGATAAACATTCGTTTTGCAAACTTCATAGATCTTGACTAACACTTACTTCGCCTATATAATTATTAAATAGTTGA